TTTAGATAAGAATACACTTTATTTCTTTTTATAATCAAAGCATTGATTACCTATTTTTATTTTTGTCGCTTAAGTTTTTTCTTTGTTTTTACGTCGATTTGTTATAAATTTGCACATTCTAAAAGCAATAGTGTTTTGTAAAAAGCTTTCCTTTCCTCTTTTCTCATTTATGATGTGGATGTTCTTTTCATCGGAGAATAAATACTTCGTATAGATACGTTACTTCCTATTAGAAATGTGTATAGAGATATATGCATGTGTGTGTACTGTTTCAATTCACTTTTTTTTTTTGAGAAAATATTCATTAATAGATGAAAAAAAAATTATGAACATCATTTTTGAATAGATTAGATCTTTATGAACAAAGAATGAAGAACGACGGAAAAAGAAGAAAGAAAAGAGTTTACAGATAAAGGAGTTTTCTATCATTCTTTTCTTTTGTTGAAGATCATTTTGACAGAACAATAAAGTAACGTAACACAATGCAACAACAAAAACACGACGACTCAAACCAATGTATAGATCAGTTTATGTGAAAAGTCGTTTTAAAAAATTCGAAAATTCAAAAAGTAGGTAAGTCAGAGTTAGAGACTCGAGTTTATTTATGTTAAATATAATTTATATTTAAAATTTATATTATATTATGAGTAAAAACATTCACGATTTTGTGCGTTATATTGTTTTTTTTACGGTAAAACTTTCTAACTAGTAAAATTTTCAAATCTATACTATTTTTTCCAGTTTTAATAATGTTAAACTCTTTCCATTTCTGAGATGTAAATGATAACTATTTTTGGACAAAGCTATCTTTGCTGATACGTACAAATTTATGTCACGTTAGCTATACAAAAAAAAAACAAAAACGCATATTTAAGATAATGCAAGATAAATAATCTTGATTAAACAAAGATAGAAAAGAATTATATTCCCTGAACAAAAAATTTTTCATTATTGATTCATGGTGTGGTGTTATTTACTTTAAAATCTTTAATTATTGTTGCATTTTTCGTTACAATCTCAAAGGACTTTTCTACAAACGGAGTTTTACTTAGTATTGAGATCAATACAGGTAAATAAAAAAAATAACTTCATTAAGTCTTCTTTTCAATATCGACATAACGTATTATGTCAGTATGATCTTGTCATTGGATAAAGTATGTATCAATTTATATAAACTAGATACAAACGTATCTGCCTCTTATAAAACAATATCAAGTTTATTTCGTATAGTTCTCTGCAAAAAGAACATAGTCAAATATTGAAATTGTCTCTGATGAATAATCGATTTTTATCCTGAAAACTGATGATTTTCACCTTCTGGATTGAGAGGACTGAAGGAGACTAAAATGAATAAAGATGTTTTATGATCTTTTGTTTGAAAAATCAAGAAGAGGATAATTGTTCTTTTCAACTATTTCGCGAGTATATATTACAATGATATCTTCAGATTATACTGTGTGTAACTTTCGTATTTTGTTAGAAAAATGTTGACGCTAATGCGCTCAGATGAGTTCGAGTTCTTGCACATATTTTTGTAGTTCAATTTCTTAAGTAATCAAACAACGTATGCAACTGTCAAAAATGTCAAAAAAAATGTTCACAAGTAAAAGTCTAAAATATTGGTTTCCCTTGAAACCTAAAGATTTCTCTACTCTACTACAAAAGTTATTTTAGACATATCACGTATTTGGTACTGTAGGAATTTAATGAAGATTATGATGGAAAGATTGTACAGCGGTTATAGAAAAAAAAAAAAAATCTTTTTGTTCTGTGATTTGCCATGTTAACGTTCGACCTCTCGTAGATATAATCGAAGAAAAAGAAGAACTTCTAAAAGACTAAGCAACAAGCGTTTAATAGAAATTTTTAATATCGACGATAATGTTACTATGTTTTTGCTAAAAAAAAGACACCATCCAATTAATATAAAAGTTTTGTTTTGCTAGATGGTATAGCTGTAATGTTCACGTACACACACACACACACACACACAATGGAAAAACAATATTTTTCTTGATTTCTATTCGACAAGAAAAGAAGATAATAGTCTTCAAAAGACAAAGAGAGAAAATTAATAACTTGATTTTACAGTCACTTGAGATCATTTTTAATAGGATTATATATTCAATTGAGCATATGATAATATCTAATTAAGACGTATCATTCAGAAGTAGGATTGGTCCATGTTTTTTGTGAAAGAGAACCAAATCAAATTTGAAAAAGAAATAAATAAGTTGAAAATAATCTAGAATTTATCTTTATACTTAAAATTCTTCATAAATGGCAGCACTTAAAAGTGCTTTGAGCTATCTGTTTTTATATTGTTTTACCACAGTGTATAGTTAATTCATTTCCAGTACTCGATTCTTACCCATTTAATTTAATCCTAGAATAACACCATTCTACACAAAACAGTAGGTGCTTCTTTTTGTCAGTTGATGAAATAAACATCATCTGCAAGTATACGTAGAATTTTACTTAAAAATAAGGTTGACAGATCATAAAATCACAACAAAATTTTAATACTAATGACTGTGTTCGAATCCCTAGCCTCTATCCTTCAAATGTTTCGAGGTACAAATCACCTATCAGTAATTGGTGTTTGCATTTTATTAGAAGTTCGAATATTGCCTCTATATGCATCCATATAACCGACGAAACGAATAGAAGTATAAATTATCGACTATCTGGATCTCGTGGCAACGTTAGTTTTCGAATAAAAGTCAATGATACACTAATGTAACTTGTTTTGAAGAAAACTAAGAACATTTCAACTGCGCATATTTTGCTCAAAATTAATCGAAATCTCTTGAAAGCGTCAGAACAGAACATGATTAAGTTAGATTCTTACCTTTAACAGGTAGATCATTGAAAATCAAATGTATTGCCATGTCATATTATTGATATTGCAAGAAATTTTCCAAAAATACACAAAAGTCTACTTTTCAAGAAGATATTGTAACTTTCTTGTCTTATGAAAAGATGAGTCCATATATCAGTATAGAATGGTGACAACCAGGCTTCTCTATTTTATTTTAGTTCTCAAGGTATTCAAAAAAGTAATTTCGAGTGCACTGTTTTATGGAATTATATTTCAAAGAGTAAACATCACAATTTTTCCAACGTTCTATAATTGATCTATGTAATGTATCATCATATCTCGAAGATGTTAACAAATTTTAGCCTTATTTCATAAATATACTAGCCATTTTCTCATACTTTATTTGATATAGAAAAGATATACAAGTGAGTTCATTTAGTTGAATTTTTCCTATAGAACGTGATAAGCAATATAAAAATTAGATGAGATTAAATATAGAGTCTGATGAATATCGTATTTTGACAATAGAATAAATTTACAAGAAAAATATATTTAGTTTTGTGATCACACCAGCTGGTGCATGAAACACATTCCTGTGTTTTTAAGTTTATCTGTACAGTTGGTTGAATCAAAAATAATATCGAATTGAATATAGTTTCTATCAAATCTATTAAAAAGGATTTCAATCGTTTTATATTATATGTATATTGCAAATTTGTTATGTTTTGCATCAACAATACAATATTTTAAATTTTTTATTGTAAAACATGAATTCTATGATGTTATTTTTACTACTTTAGAGTAAATAGTATAGACCGGATTAGAAAATTTTTAAGATTTATCGAGTCTATAACAAAAGAAGTCATATAACAAAAGAAGCAGTCTGGTCTATTTTTAGTATCATTTAATATAATATTATGCGTGTAAAAAGCCCTAAGGTATGTGTAGTGCAATAAATTTTTAATACAAGTTTAACAAAATTGTAGGCAAACAGCCGCTATACTTACATCTCAGATTTGAGCAAGATTTCAAAATAGATCGGATAGCAATTTCCCCTCCCCAATGAGTCTTTTTACATATAAACGACTATGGTAACGAAATCTCCTTAAGATGTTTAGATTGTCTTTTTTTTTTAGAGTGTTTACATATTGTCACGAAATTTTTATATCATAAGACTTCGTAACAATTTGGTCAGTTATTTTTAATTTTAATTATTTCAAGAAATGAAGGGTTAAGTCAAAAAACGAAGAACTAGAAGGTAAAATAAATATCTTCATTTTCAATTTGAGTCGTCATATTTCATCCATTTCTTTTATATTTTTATTCTACAAATAACGTTTTTTTTTTTTTTTTTCTTTCTTTAGTCATATAATATTAAAATTATGGATAACAGCAATTTAATAGTTTGAGAAAAGAGAAAGAATAAATATCAAACGGTTTGAATAATTTAGAGAGAAAAAGGTATAAATTTTTTACGTAAATTAAACTCTTGAAAGACCTTTTTATAATGAGTGTTATGTCACTCGTCACTAACATTTCTTCCTTTTTCTACTTTTGCTATTCATTTCTCATGACCAAAAAGAAAATGTTGACTCGGTTCTTGTTGAGTCAACATTCATTCTTCATCGATATATAGTGTTTGTTCGTACACACCGAGGGCAGTTTTTCTTGTGATTTTATTCTTTCGAATAAAATCTGTGTAGGCTAACAATTAGTACACGGCATAGACCTATTGCGATTTAATAAGATTATTTTTAGAATCCATTTTTTGATCAATTTCATACTACCTCAAAGAGAAATTTTGTTTTATACCCCCTTCTCATAATGTTCTACTTCTGTTTGCGGCCCTGGTTATTAACAAAAGATATTTCAACTTCAATAATCTCTTGATATGTAATAGAAAACACATGTCGATCTAATACCATTATCTTTTCATCGAATATTTGTTTGATCGACAAATGGAAAATATTAAAGAATTTTTAATGTTAAAAGAAATAGATCACGTTCGATTTATGTATGCAGACTAAAATACTGACTCATTTTTTTAGAACTCTAAAAACAAAACAAAAAATATGATCTTTAGAAATATTTTTACTATCAATAATATTACTTTTTGTTGTAAACTAATTTTTCTTATTTTAATTTTAGGTTGTAAATAAGAAAATAGTATAAAATAACAATGAGTTCATCAACAACATCCAATAATTCTAAATATAATAAAGATAAAGATATATTTGAAATTGTTCAACATATATTTGGATTTTATTTAATTCCTATTATTTGTTTACCCGGTCTAATTGGAAATATTTTATGTATTAGTGTATTTTTATCAAATACAATGAAACGTTATTCAACAACACAATTTTTACTTTATTTAGCTATTTCTGATACATTTAAATTATCTAATGATTTACTTTATTCTCTTGTATTAATTATACAATCAATACATACTGAATTGGGTAAAGAATTATTTCATAATCTTTATCGTTATTGTCATTATATTAATCAATGTGCAACCATTTGTACAGCTTGGCTAACATTAACATTAGCTATTGAAAGGTAGGAAGAAGAAGAAGAAAAAAAAAATATTAAAAATTTGAATCTATAAATTGAATTTAAAATGGATGATAATTAAGATTAAAAATATTATTATTTATATTTTAGATATATACTATGTAGTTGTCAAACACGTATAGGTCTAGATACATGTTTTAAAAAGAATACAAAATTAATTTGTTGTACAATATTATTAATTAGTCTTTTAATTGGTTTACCAGTGTCAGGTCGTTATGAACTAGTTGAAAGTGAACTAAATAATTCTACTAGTAAAAAAATATTATCAATACAATTGTCAACATTTGGTAAAAGTCGAGCTTTTCGTCTATATTCTATGACCGTTGATATTATTCGTGCCATTATACCAAGTCTTTTACTTATTTATATTAATTCAAGAATTGTCTATTTATTATGTCGAATGAAAGAAGGAATATTTAGTAAAGAACAAAGACATTCACAAGAAGTATTTTATCGTTTAACAATAAGTTTAATTATAATTATATTCTGTTTTATTATATCTTATTTTCCTGATGCTTTATTATCGTTAATATTAAATATGGGTTATATTGAAGAACCATATCAAAAACGTACTATTAGAGAAATAACAGATTTTTTTGTTACATTAAATTCAGCAACAAATTTTACAATTTATTTTTGTATATCATATACTTTTAGACGTTCTCTAGCACGATTAATAGCACCAACAAAAAAATATTATACAACAACAGATCCAAGAAATGAACAACCATTAGCATTGTTAGGACGAGATGAGAATATAATAAACTAAATATTAATTAAATGTTTATATTAATTTTACATTACTTTTTTTTCTTTTTATAGATGTTAAAATATTTTTTGTTATTTGACAGTCATAAAAAAAGATTGAAATGAATCGATGAACTATAATTAGAAAATTATACTATTTATATCTTCTTTTAGGTAAAATATTACAGAATAACAATTTATTCTAATCTTCATTATACAATTGTAATTATATAAGGTAGATATATAGATGAACTCATTTAAGAATGGGTATCAAATTTTAAAATATTTAATATTTTGTGGGATTCAAAGAAAAAATATTTGACAAAACAAAGTTCTTTTTTTGTTTTTAATGAAATAAGTATAGATTATACAATAATTAAATGAAAATAACAAAAAATCATCATCTATCGTACATGTAAATATGTGTCAAAAAATATTAAATATCTTTAAAAAGTTATACTTTTAGATTTTAGAGAATTAACAAGTTGAACAAAAATAGGCCGATTGCATTGAATATAGTTTACTGATGGAAGTTGACCTATGTTCATCAGTATCTTGATTGATCATAAATGAAACAGAATTATGCAATGAATCATTCATACTCATCTGACTATTCTCTTTCAAATTTATATTTTCAACTAAAAATATATAGAGAGACTAAGTTATAAAAAAAAAATGAGAGTGTTTTATCTTATTCGATGATCAACAAACCTGTGTCAATTCTGTTGTCATCATGTGATGATATAAATCCATTTGAAAAACTGTGTGAAAGTGATTCATCCGATGATCGATTTTCTTAAAAAGGATAAAATATTAACAGAAACTGAATTCTTACATTAAATTATTGTTTATTATATTTACCAATATTTTGTCGTTCTTCATCTAAATTTTTTGTTTGTCTCTCCTGACATTCATTGCCTTGTAGTTGTCGTCGTTGTAGTTTCTTCATCTAGAATATTTCAAATGAAATATAGTACAAAATTTTATATCTATATATAATTTTTACCTTTGCTCTTTCATTTTGAAACCAAACTTGAACAACCCGAACACTTAAGCCCGTTTCATTTGCTAAATTTTCCCGTACCTTAGATAGAAAATGAATATATGTGAGAATGATGATAAAATTGAACATAATAAGAAAATACTTTTCTACATGGTTTTGAACTAATATCAAATGCTTGTTTAAATTTTCGTCGTTGAATGGATGTTAAAATTGTCCGAGGTCGTTTTGGTCCACGTCTATTTTCTGACAAACATTCTTCTTCAAAACTATCATCTTCATCACCTATAGAATTTTCAAGAGAATAATAAAATTTGTTTTCTTAGAATTATCTATTTATCTAAGATGTTGATACTTACTTGCAATGTAATGATGTGGTGGCTGACTACTATTCATAATTAACAAATTTTGTTCAAAATCTTGTCGACATAATAAATGTCCATCTCTGTCAATAGCATATTGATCACCTTTATTTAGTATATCATTACATTGAAAACACGAGAAACATCGTAAATGAAACATTTTATCCATTGCTTTCATTACTATTTCATCCAATTGTATTACTTGTTGGCAGCGATGACAATGAACACCATGGAGTCTAAAAATAGTTACAGTAGATACTAACAAGGTCTAATATTCAATGACAATTGGTGGATTTTACGTATCTATCTATATATAGACAACTTATATAGGATAAGAAGTAAAAATAAATAATGCGGTACAAAGCATAATCATATTCTAGTATCATTTTCAGTAACGATTTTCTCAATAACTACAAGTCCTGTATAAAAAGCCGGCGGCGGGGGGGGGAGCGTATTTGATCAGAAACCGGACCCGCATTTTTTTGCCTTATTTTGACTGGACTTTTGTCGAAAAGACATTTGCACATATTGCCCAGTTGTTCTTATGGAAAAGAAGCTCAGAATACGTTTTCAAAGTTGATTATTTTGAGATTCCATCAGAGGACGTCGTTGTTAGAAAAAATAATATTTTTGAAAAATCCGGCATAGGTTTCATCCAAACCTTGATATGAAAAAATAACCAGTGAAAAACTGAATAAAATACTTTGTCCTTATACTCAAGACTTTGATTTTTTTTCAAACTTTTTGGTCGAGATTTTTGCTGAAAAATCAAAGTTGTCTAAAAAAGAAAAAGTTGAAATTTGATGGTGAAAATTGGAAAATATGAGTGCATTTCCTTGATTTTTCTCATATTTGAATTATAATGGACTGAGCCTATAGTATGTAGAGTTTGTTTACTGAAAATATTGTAGAGCTTTTCAAAAGCTATTTTTCTATTTTAAAGACTAGTTGGATCCTCTCTTGCTTATGGGAGAAAATGGGAAAATATGATCGCTCAAGCATGGTCACTACATAGGGAATGCTTGAAGATAAACCGTTTCTTCTTAGTAATATGGTATGGTTAATATACCATTTTATTCAAGTTTTCATTAACTATTTTTCTATATCAAAAACAAAGCAAAGTTGGATCATTGTTTACACACGGAGAAAAAGTACTTAAGACATCGCTGATATCGTCTTTTTAGGTGCAATTTGTCTCTTGTAGAAACTATAAGTGACTTGGCCAATGGTGTTTAAAGATTCTTAATACAGAATATTGTAGAGTAAATCAAGGGCTATGTTTCTATACTAGATACAAGTTGCATCCTCGTTTGCATATGGTGTGAAAAGTACTTAAAACATCTGACGCTGTCTTTTAGGTCAATTTGTCTCTTGTAAAAATAATTTCTTCTATTGAAATGATGTATAAGGATTGAGTATAAGGACAAAGTATTTTATTCAGTTTTTCACTGGTTATTTTTTCATATCAAGGTTTGGATGAAACCTATGCCGGATTTTTCAAAAATATTATTTTTTCTAACAACGACGTCCTCTGATGGAATCTCAAAATAATCAACTTTGAAAACGTATTCTGAGCTTCTTTTCCATAAGAACAACTGGGCAATATGTGCAAATATCTTTTCGACAAAAGTCCAGTCAAAATAAGGCAAAAAAATGCGGGTCCGATTTCTGATCAAGTACGCCCCCCTCTTTTGAAAACGATTCAACTTTCCTATAGCTAAATGTGGGAATGCTCGCTTTTGAGACTTCCTGGTTATTTCGTCTCTTTTCTAGAGCATCCAAAAGTAGATCGATTGAAAGTTTGGGACTTAGGAAATTTTCGTATAAATGGATAATTACTTTCAGTCTATATGCACCATATTTGTTGTAACTGTAGAGTTAATACTACTTAAAATGAGTCATTCTTATTGCTTAGTCACTACATACACTGCTGGGTTATAGATAATTAATGTAGTGATGTAAGACAGTGATTGTTATGTGACTTATGTGACTGTAGAGGATAGTGCATAACTTCAAATTATTTATGTATATTTGTTAATAGTGTAAATAAATTATTGTCGTTGTTTAAACAGTGCATGTACTGCTATCTTATAGACAATGTGTCTCTTCGCTGCGTTATTTTAATTATTCTTAGAAGTAACTCACTGTGTTCGACTTATTTCGCCTCTGCAAAGGATTCATTTACATTGTTGTGCAAAGCTGCTTTCACAACTGATTCATGGCAATCTAATTCATTATTACCCATCAACAAAGTACTAAATGTGTTATCTCACTGCACAGTCTAACTATCCGTGTCTCGCTTCGCACCGCATTCGCAAGTAAAAAAACCTAGCATATTGACCTCTGGCTGGATGTGGGAACGATTGCTGTTGAGACTTTTACGACGTTTCGTCTTTTTGCTATAGTTTCCAAAAGTAGGTCGTTTGAAATTTGGGGCTTAGAAAATTTTTGCGTAAAGCCGATAATTAATCTTACATTATGCAGGCTTGGTGAAAAAAACCGATTGAACGGTTAGGTAGGTTCCCTCGTAAGAGAAAGAAGAAAAGAGAGAATAATGGCTTACTGAAGTATAGAGAACAAATGAAAGCAATGAAAAACAGGTAAAACACAATGCAAAAACAGAGAGAGTTCAAGTATGAGAGCAGTAGTAAAAATAGACATAGGAAACTAGATCAATAGGAGAAAAGCACCTGATATTGGCGTTTTAAAATGAGGTAGCAGATCAATTAAAACTCTAAAAGTAAAAAACTAGCGAGCGTAGTCATTAGAAACGTTTATTGGCAGTAATAAAATCCCTCATAGACTGATACACAGATATCAAGGGATTCTGGAGTAAATGTGTTCTAATATAAGGGTATTAGTATCACGATTCATACCTAGATTACCCAACTTAGCAGACAGAATTGCTCGAGCTCCATCATACTATGGACATTCCAAGAAATAGTCTTTTGGATTTTCAACAACCGCTATTGGTGGAGACAGGGAGAAACAACTGTCACAGAAATTTTCAGGAACAAGTTTATGTTGTTTGCTAAAACAGGATGTTTTAGCAGGATTACATTTACATCAAATGATTATTGTTATTATTTATTTAATAATTTCAATCTTCACGCTGATTTTTCCTAGTACCGAACATTCCCACGGTGAACTTTCACCCCATCCTAGTTATCTATTAACATTCATTAATAGAAGAACAGTATCGTTGCTTATATTGAAAACCATCACTGCTATATCTTGTGAGAAAGAAAAAATATACTTTTTGTTTAAACACATACGAACACCGGATTATTTGTCTTACATCATATCATACCATAGTCGTATACTAAGAAGACCTATTGTCATTTCTCAAATTGATAAAAATGACATGATTAGAATTGTTAGCCGATCTGAATCTGAACGACGTAGTAAAAGGAAAGTTTAGACGCTGGTGAACGTACGAACATAACTAAAGAAAATCGTCAACAAAAATAATTAAAATTCCAGATAACGATGTGATAATAACAGCATATCTTAAAAGTTTATGTTATTCGACCCATAGGTAACAGCTCTATTTTTTATAACACTACACGGACATTTTACAGTCCATAACTCACGTATTCTACTGAAATAGTGAAGGAGCAACTATAACGTCCTATAGGGAAAAAGCTCAACGTAGCTTTACTATTTCAGTTGAAATCTGGCATGTATAAAAATGAGTGTTGCTTCTGACTTGTTGAATTCTCTACATTCGTGTTTAACTTTTGTGTGTTTTCAAGTGACTTACATATATTTTATTTGAAAAATATATATCCAATTATGACTGTACATTTTTTAAGTATAGATTAAGTCGCATCAAACTTATGTGTATATTGTTCCACCTTTCATTATTATTCAGATTTATCTACTTTTTTTTATACTGGAAAAGACAGAAAACGATGGATGGAATCACTTCTAATCGTCAGTCATACTTTTTGAGTACTAACGCTTAGTAAATCAATTGTTCACAGAAGAACAAAAAAGTTTCAAGTGTTTATGTGCCATTTTAACAAATATAGAACAAAAACAAGATTAATAATCTACACACACACAATTGTATCTTTTTTACATATGTATATTGGAAATTTTTGTTACTCCTAGTTTGTTCATAATCAGTTTTTTCTATGGTTTTCTACATAGCTTTCACATATTTAATGTGCAATATCAAAACAGATTGTAAAAAACTTTAAAAAAAAGAATTTCTCTTTTAAATTCTATCTATTTTATATTTTAAACAAAATCGTTTTTCATAACCTTTTATGGTTTCACATAAAAAAAGATTTTTTTGGAAAACGAAATTGGGGCAGAAAAGAGAACAGCCTTATTAATTAATTGTTTGCTGTTTGCCAATATGTTCGAATCATAAATTATGATCTATATTAATATATAAGTCACGTTTAAGTCAAAAATTAAAACCAAATCTATTGTTGTTATTTTGAAACGTTGACGAGACTTTGACTTTGATATTGTTTCAGTTATTATTTCAAAGTATTTTTCTTGCTGATGGTGAAATGAAATTCTACAAATAGAAGAGATTCTTCATCTTTTTTATCTACATGACCTCAAAGAATTTTATTTAATATTACTTCTGTGTTCAAACTCTTTTTACTTGTCTTGAGAGAGAATGTATAATTTAAAAACTTCATGTCTTCGTCTGATTAACTTGACCCAATCTTCTAGAAGATACATCCTTTAACTTTATCATAAGATGTCATTCTATTTTCATTATTTATTAGTTCAGCTCAAATCTGAGTTGTTTTTCTCCGAATACATTCTGTCTGAACTCTGTCCCTCTCCTTTTTAGTATTTTATCTGTATTTGCAAATCGATGCTCCTATCGATTCACTTTACAGTAATGAGACGTGAACTTTAGGTTTTATCTTCAGAAAGATCTTTTCTACTACAAAATCTCTTTGCGGTGATATAAGTGGCTAAGCAACTCTATACTGCAAAAAACGTAACCTCAGTAAAAAAATATTTCCATGTAAAAGGCGCGTCGCACTCCCCATGAAAGAGGCTGGATTCCAGTTTTATGCACCTCTGGTGTCTTCGTGCGACATCGTGGATGTTTAGTCAAGGTATTTTGGATGCATTCTCCCATGTAAATCAGCTGCATTTTGGATGCGTAAACTAAGGCATTCTGATGTCCTCAAGGCATTGAGGATGCATTAAATACGCCGCGATGCCTTATAATATAAAAGCTGGCTATGACTAAAAACACACAAAAAAGAGATGAATAAAGAGGATTAAAAGAAAGTTAGTACTAAGTTGAGAAGAATAAGCTAAGAAAAAATATTCAAAGAGACGGTGCGAAATGTCTACTGGAGCAGAGATAAAAAATCTAAGCAGACTACCTTCTACAGTAAGAGATAGATGTTTCAGCAAACACTCTCAATGCATTTCGATGTCTTAAATGTGACTACGCGATTTATCTGTAGCTTATGGGTGATTAAGAGTCTTGACCGTAGCATTGTGCATTGCGCCTTTTTGATGTATTAATGATATCTATCATATGTACCTAAGCTAGTTTTTTCAAAAAAAGCAGCGATTTAGAGGTGTTTCTGGAAGACATTAAGGTGACTAACAGTAAAAAGATGAGAAAATGCACATGACTTGCCTTCCAAACGCATTGTGGACGCATTTTGAAGTCAGCCAAGTGATTTAACAAGACACTTTTTTTTGACAGTGTAAATTTCATTAGTTTTTTTTTGAAGTGTGCAACGTGAAGTTAATGATCTAAAATATTTTATGGCAAACTGGAGCTTCTTTATAGAGACTTGCACGAGTTAAGAGAACGTAATTCGAACCCGATTGGACTCAAGAATCGGATCAAATCGAGTTGCAGAGCTATAATTTTACCTTATCTTCCTGTGTGCTTTTAGGATATACGAGATAGAAATGCAGTATGAGTACATAGTAGCTATGTTCTTCATTATCCATAATATGACAAAGTTATATCAAACAGTCATACTACACCCTGACATATATCGATAGTTTCCGAACTTTGCACACTTTTAGTTAATTTCAAATTGGGATCAAAGAATCTACAAAGGCGGTGGATGAGTGTGCGGAGTTTTGGGCATGAACCATATTTATCTACATATAGTCTATATACTCTGTGTATAGATTGACAGAGAAACAGAAATTCAGTCCCGATTCTTAGACACGTTAATTAATATTTCTGTTTCGTCGACATTTTATAGCGTTGGCGTCTCACTAGCATCTTTCATCATCCTACCCCCAAATTGTTGTCGACGAGTCAGGAAAAAAATGAATGAATTGACGAATCGGAACGATACCAGAAACAGAAAAATCAAAGACAGCTTTTGTAACTATTTTAAAATATAAAGCGCGTTCTCGATTTTGGAAGAGTATTTCTACTTCTACTCCTCAGCTATTCAGTATATTTTGTGTAATATTTTTCTAATTTACGGTGAATTATGATATTATTATGCATTTTACTTTTATCAATCGTTACGTGCATTATTATCGACTACTTTTATCAATGTGTATAACTACATGAAGTCTTCAAAAGTCACTCATTTTTTGAGAAAAAATTGGTACTCTCATCTTATCACGGCACAGTATGAGATTGCCATTGGCATAATAATTATTCTGTATTCTGTACTCATAATCTTTCTGTATTTTGTTAAGCAGCTAAAAAGTCTCCGGCAACATTATATTTTTAATAGAAAAGAAATCAATAAAGATACAACAAGTAGGAAGTTGTTCAGCGGACAGGCATCCTCCTCTTTTTTTGTTTTTTTTCTCGATAGATACAGTTTAATAAAGAAGACAAAAGAAATACGCACATCCGTCAAATACTATTTGATACATTTGTAAATTGTTCACGAACTTTTACGAAACAAAATTGATAGTCTATTCTACATCAATATATTTAAACAATGCTGTTTACTGGCTATAATTGTCACAATATCTGCATATTATTAAATTTAATCAAAGGCTAACTTTTGAACTATAAATTTATCAATAAAAAAAAACAAAAAACAGATAGAAAATTTTGTTTTTCAGAATTGAACGAAAGATGGAATAATCTCAACTTTGTTCTATTCTTTCTAACAGGAAAGGATTACTCTGAATGTACGCGACAATGGTTTCTCTATTGATTTGACCACGTACAACACTCAGTTTTCATCATCATTCGAAATTCTGTCAATATTTTTTCTTTTTTCTCTTTTTGTGATGCCGCAAAGTTCTGACCGTACATATATCATTTTTGTTGTATTTTTGTTTTTATTGCGCAGTCATCGAAGAAGAAGAATATTCATTTATTCATTCATTTTTTCTATTTCTGTGAAAACGATACCGCTATATAAAATCAAATTTAAATATACTGTAAAAAATTATTTTCTTGTGAGTCAAGTATTCAATGATATAACATATATAAGAGACAATATTGCCTCAAGACGGCAGAAGTAGAGTAGGTGCAAAATAAAAATAAAAATCTGTATTTCTACAACATTGTCCTATACTCACAGATTAAATATGTTAAAAAATTAAACTTACTGTAAATAATCTCTTTTACAATAAATCTTTGCATTTTTGTAATAACATGTACTAACAAGTTGTTGCTGACACTCACTACATACTAAACAATTTTCATGCCAATATGTTCCCATAATTGATAGTAAAAATTTATCTTCAATTGGCAATTTACAACCACGGCAAAAATTGGCGTCTGATTGTGGCATTTTAAACCTAAATTAAACAATTATTTTTCAAAATCTTTATGATTCATTAGTAAGCCGATAGGTGTTCCTCTTTTTTTTAACTTGATTTTTTGACTTTGTCTCTCTGTTTCTTGTTGTCTCTTAGCTCTTTATACACATACTCAGTTCGCGTATATCGTTTAAGTACTCTTTTTTTTCTAAATTTGTACAATTTAATTGTTTTGAAGAACAAGTGCCTCAAGTGGTAGCCTGCAAATGCAGGATCTCTTCAACTTTAGGAGGAGTCGGTTATAAAATGACATACTTTCGAGCAAAAAAAAAGGTATTATAGTACTACATTGTAGCTTAACTTAACTTTTTAATGCTTGCCAAAAATTAAATTTTCAAATATTTTTAAAAATTGGAGGGGTATCACACACACGTTCGAGACGGCCCTGTGCAGATGTCAATAATCAACTACAGAGATGATTGGTCAAAATTTTTCTTATCGTCAGATTGTTGGTTGAAACATATCACGATCTTCCACATTTAATGTCAAAACTTGTCAAAAACTTCCAATTTTATTTTAATTTCATCACCCTTACCTGCTTGAAAATCTGTGATTAATTACGTCATTCATATAAAACACACATACCTTTTTTGTTTTATTTACGTACATGTAGTTTCAAACAACATCATCCATAGTAAAAAAAAAGTCTGAGATTTAAACAATAGAAAGGCAAATATTTGTTGTGCATTCTACTACTGCCTACATATTAATCGTTTTTGATTGGTCACAAAAAAGGAAAAAAAATGATAAATTTTTACAAGCCACTACAGACAAAATGTGTGCAAATGTAGAGAGAGTGAAAGAAAAAAAGAGAAATATTTAGCTACTCTTTTATTCATTGGCTAAGTGGAATAACTGCTGAGACTGAGTTACCATAATGAGTTCGTCTTTTAGTCAACTGTAAAATATACGTGAAATGGTAATTCAAAAGTAAAATGGACACTTTTTGTATTTTCAGCAATGCAGATGAGTTTCAAAAGTTTTTGTACCTTAGTCTTACATTTTCTAGTTTAGCACGATAGAAGATTACAAAATAGGATGAACAGGGATGTGGCGATGGGGGATGCGCACTCACACACTTTGAAAAAACTGATGGTTTTTCTCAAGCAGATCTGATTTTGAAATATTACTTTTTAAAGACTGACTCCCCCTTAGACCTTGCTGAAATGCCTGCACATATGTACTCAGCAAGAATACTTGAAAAATTTGTCGGCTGCACGCCCCATTTTTTTCTCCATTGTCACATCCTAGGGGTGAATTTGATAAGTTCTCTGATTCATTAGGCACCAGCCCCTTTTCAGCGATTAGAGAATAAAGTTCTTGAAAATTTCGTGCAATTCCTATGTATCAATAGTTGCTACTCTCTAATTGTAGTTGGCTAATTAGTTGTACATTTTGTTATGTTTTAAAGTAAACAGTTTGCTTTCATCCGTATCTGACAATCTGAGACGATGGACCTTCGTTTCATCGAAACATGCTTTAATGTGAATGTGAGCCACTCTGATCTTTTCAACGAAACAGAAACTAATCTTTAAGACATAACGCCTCATCAACGATTTTATATTATCTGAAAAACGTGATATATTCCACCAGCGGCGGATTTATGGGAGGTACGCTTGGCGGGATTGCAACACCCTTCCAAAATATTTTCAGAAGAAAAATAAACACTGTGAGTGCTTCCAGCTTCAAAAGTTTAAGCAATCGTACCCCCGCCCCCCTTAAAATAACCTGGATCTACCACTGTACTCCACTATCTAACCGAACTATTTCTCAGTTATCAAATAATTTTAATTTTAATAATTCAAACACAAACAGAAATTTTTTTCAATCCACAGATATTCCTAAGAAATAATTTTCAAATGTATTCATTCATTTTTTTTAATTGAAACATCATGTCTTAAACGTTCTGTAGGCGAGACACTGCTGGAAGCAAACTTATGTAGTCAAATGTAGCACATTATAACTGAAGTTTTCACTGATATGAGAGAATCATATTGGTTAGTTCACTTACAGAACGAACTCAAGTGATGAATAGTGCCACAACGCTTTCTTTCAAAATCTGAGGAAGAAACTTTTATTGCAATGTATTTCTACTGTTTTTCTTTATTTTAAAAACATAGACATTGATGTTTTTGCAATATGAAATCAACCACAGTATATATGGTTGGTCAACAGATTAATGACCCAATTTCAAATAGTTTCTTATAGATTTTCTATATGTTAAATCAAATGCTTACACTTCGAGAAATTATATTTTGATCATTCTCATGTACTGTTTAACTTCAAAACATCGGATTAATTCGGTTATCTATATGGGCGATAGAGAAGAAAAAGGAAGAAAACAGTTTTTCTTCTTTTCTTCAATTAACAATATTGATTAACTGTAGTATATCGAAATCAGGATAGGGTGAGAAGAATAAATACGGCATCATTTCGAATTATCGAATGTTTTATGTTATCAAATGTTTAAGTACTAACAACAGTATGTATACGATATGATTATCTATCGATTCTGTTCGTCTATCTTTATTCTCTATGATTGACAGACACGAGCCGACTTAACTCATTTCTCTTTTACAAATATAGTAATATGTATTTCAAAAAACCACTGTATTTTTTATTCACTTTCATTACTCTAATTTCTTTTATCGGTAAATTGATAGAGTATGATCAATTAATTATCCAGTTGTTTCACTCAACAACAGATCATCTATAAGAACAAAAAAACCATGTTGAATAATAACTTGTTTGACATCCTAGTCGATTATTTTTCTGTACATACAAATATTTATTTGTCACACACACGTACATTGCTTGTTTAAATAATGCAGGTGACGATGGGAGAATGAACAATATTATATCTACAATTGACTCTGATAATAATCGATCAAAGTGTTAGCGACATCCGTAGTGAATAAAATAAACGTGATTTATAAACGTTTACGGATATTAGAAGACGAGAGGAAAATGACACAATTTAGAACTTTTTTTATTGAAAATAATTAATATTAAATTCAGCTCTATCCGGTTTAAAAGGATTAGTCTTCTTACATTTTCTGCTAACAGAAATTGATAAAGCATCATTTATTCAAACTACATCATGATAAACTGAGAATCAATATTTAATGTTATCATATAGTTCCTTACTATCTGACATCATAATGATTTACACGACTAGTTTATTGATTACCCCAATAGCGAGTACATTTATGATAATCTTCGTCTTGTACGTGTCAGCCGCAGAGATGATTTAGAGTACAACAACTACGAAAGACTATAGGTTGCTTTTACGAGTTTATAATGTAAATACTACTGAACTCAAAAATTAACATTTATCAGTTCACATTTGTTGTTCATCGAACATTAGTACATCATAACTACAAGCGTTCTTAATTTTTAATTTTTATATCCATTTGTTTATTTGAGTTTTGATTTATTCAAAACTCTTTTCTCGTTCTAAAGTACGATTGTTTATTTACGTTGTTTTTTACAAGACCAATAATAATGGGAAGTAATATCCTTCTATCGGTCACAGTCAAGAGGCTGTTCTTGCTCTCACATTAAATAAATAGCTTAAACCAAGTCAAACATTAGTACAAGAATTATCAATTCAACCAAATATCGAGATTGTATAGTGTGCCTGTTTTTGTGATATAATATACATAGGCTTCGATGAAAGTAACAACCAATGATGATGTTGTTCATATGACAGTATTTCACTGTTAATGGAGGGTCAAATTATCATTGTTCTGTACAAACAAATATATTTAATATAAACTTTTTTATTTTCCAGCAAATCGACTTGGCAAATTACATGTTGGTTGATGTTGGACAAATGTGAGAATAATAACAATAAGAAAAAAGAACAACAATTACAAAAACAAAAAGAAAGAGAAAGAAATAAGTAAAAGTATTGTAAAGTTAGAAAAGAGTTTATCTTATCAAAAAGAAAACGTTTTATCTCTTATTTTAGGAGTTTTCAGGAATCTGGTGGGAGTACACCCTACTGAATGTACTTGAGACCAAGTACTTACAAAAGTACTTGGGTAAGTAATGTCCAGAGTATCTGAAGTTTTTTGCAAGTAAAAGAGGTACTTATCAAGTAATTCAACAAGTATAAGTATTAGATAAGTACTCCATCAAGTATTTGGCAGGTGACCTGGTAAGTACTTGCGAAATATATGCAAGTATCCGAAGTTCTTGGCACGTATTCTATTTAAAAATGCTTGACATCTGCTTAACCAAGCACTTTAGAAAATTTGTAAGTAGCTAAGTACTTGATCTCAAGTACATTCACTAGGACAGTTCTACTTTTGTAGGAAAAGAAGGGTCGCACATCATTGGGTCTGGGCGTAAACGTTCTGCATCCTTTAAAAATTTTAAAACAGAAAGGTATAGGATTTTAATTTTATCTTTTTCGAGAGAGAACATGTCGTGGTTTTTAAAAAGTAAACGATCTATTGTTACGTTAGTTATTTGTAATATAAACTGAAACGTTTTTAACAGTTCTGAACGTTGTGTTAAATAAATAAAATAAAAGCAAAGTATTTTTATTTTTCATATAATCATAAATATAATTAGAAGACTGTTCAGAGTAGGGATGGGGGACAGTTCCTAAAGTTCCTGAGAAATAGTGAAAAGAACTGAACTGGAACATTCCCACCCCTAGTTCAGAGTATTAATCAGAAAGATATGAGCATTATATACTATACAATATAATAAAAAAACTGTGACATGTTTAGTTGATCTAAACACCAGAATGAGTTACCAGGACAAATTTTTTAACATTTTGATCATCGTAATACAGCTTGGTTATGTACTCTAAAAAAGTGCGACTTCTAGGAAAACGCTAAAGTCAGCTCCCATTGAGTCACATTTTAGTGCCTCTTTGATGTGTCTTCTAAAGGAAAGGCATACTAAAAAATACTTTTTTAGTCCTGTCAACGGTGGCGTGGTCAGTTTTTTGAAAGAGGGACTAAAAATTTTGCTCAACAGAATTTTCGAACATTTTTTAAAGTGTTTTGTTCAGTCTTTTTGCTGATAGGAATGAATAGTTTGATTGATAGTGATAACAAAAAGGTCTTGTTCTGATTTAAAGAACAAAAAATAAGGTGAGAGTTCTAAATTTTTGATTCAACTGCCTCGATTGCTTTATTTGTATGAGGATTCAGACATGAAAAAAAAGGATCATCAAAAAAAGTTTTCGATCAGAGGCAATATGAAGTATTTTTTTTTACGGAAGCAGAAACTACTACACTGGCAAAGTATTTATTAGTCTCTCGTATCTTTTACGTTGACTTTTAATGTGAGAATACGATTAAAAACTTAAGGCAACGTCATATGGAAGTAGTTAAGACAAAGTAAAGGTTACCTTTTTTTCGCTCTTTCTGACAATTTTCTTATCTCACATGTTGAGGTTGACAGTATCCATTACTTCTTGAAAATTTCATTAGATTCTCCTTTGATAACTTCTGTTGTTTCGTCTAGAAAGTCAATAGCGAAGCGAAGCCACCTTTGAACTTATTCACTTGCAAAGATTTATATTCGCGTCTTTAATGCAGTAAGCAGCACTAATCAGTAAATGATATATTTTGAAAATAGCCATGAAGATATACCTACTAAATGTCTTTTATGCGACAAATGCAATATGACGTTTATGTACTTATCCATAGAAAGATACATTAAAGACATATGAGAGACATTGCGTACATATAAGACACTTTTACTCGATAGATACATAATTAAAGTCATATTCTTTTTAGAGTGTACAGTAGATTCACGTAACAAAATTTTTTTGAGAGACTTAATATGAGAAAGCAGAAATAATGAGCATCAGCCTAACGTTATCACTTCGTTTTCTTTTAAAACCATTGTTTGAATCGTAGGAATTCGACGGACACCACCATCACCAGCGCTCACAGGTATTTTAGATTGTATATGAGAAACACTTACTTTTGAATTTTGTGATTGCGGCATGATTTTATTATTAGTACACGAACAACATTGTAGAAACGTATTCATATTGGTATAAAATTGTTGACGAAATTTACTTGATGTAATCATTAATACTGGAAATGTTGATGAATGATTTATGTACAATCCAATATTAATACAGTAAGCAATTAAGTTTCTTAAATATTTTGGTGTATTATCAGTATAAATAAATTTCCAAAATATAACTTCAGGTAACGTTAACAGAACATAAACGGTCGATGCTATAACAATTAAGAGTGTCACATTTTTCTGTGTTTCTTTTGTTCGCGTTTTTATTCGTTTTCGTTTATGAAATACTTTTATCAAGACAAATATATTACAAATTGTTGTTATTACATAGGGTAAGACGGAATAAAGTGCTAAATGAGCATAATAATAGAAAATTGTATAAAACCATAAATAATTTGAATTTTGAATTAATCGACAGGAAAATCTTCTTAATGTTTCATTCATTCCAGTAATATTAAATGTAAATTCATAACCACCTTTAAAAATTAACACATGAAAATGAAAGTATATTTCTAGAATAAATATCGTTATCATAATACCCAGTGTTATTGAAGGACGTCGACTATAATTTAATCTCCATCGTTTAGAGTACAATAGTAGGCATCGATCGATGCCCGCAATTGTTAATAAAAATGCTGATGTTTGAACACCAATTCGACTGAAAAAGGCAATTATTCGACAAGATACTAAATATTTGATTTCAATATCAACGCCCAATAATGGATACCAAATGGCGTTTTGAATATAACCAAGAAATGCCAATGTATCAGCAATTGCAATACCAACGAAATAGAGTAGTGTGTTATAAGTTTTCAATTCTCTACTGGATAATATTGTTTGTACAACAATTAAATTACTTGGAATTGCATAACAAAATATAACTGTCAAAATACTTCGTAAACCGGTTTCAATCTTTTCAATAGACATCGATTTAGATGTTTTCTCAAAATCAATATATTAGTAAAAATGAGACATATTTTTCTTTAAAATAATCTAGCATAACGAGAAGACAATCTGTTTTTGTTTTGTTTTCTTGAAAATAAATCTGAACTTGTTATACTAACACGTACCAGTGAAATTTGAGAAATAAAAAACAACAAACTATTTTTCCGAATAATTTAGAAAAAACAGAATCATCGTCATTATTTAGTAAATAAGACGCAAAATGACGTGATATGTCACAGAAAAGAAATACACATCTAAAGCAAAGAAAAAATCGCATAACAATTGCTTTCTTCAACGTACGACACGTACTTTGGTGTCTCTTTTCATATCTGATCAAATTAATCATTATAACTTCCAGAACAAAGTCAAGTACTGAAAGAGAGAAGGAAGTCTCTTCAATCTGAGTTTTTATTTGTTTTGGAGAAAAATCCCCTTGAGCATACCTTGAATATATCACATTGAAAGACAGGAGTTCAAATAAAAAAATATGCACTTGACAGAGAAATTTTAAACTCATCACCGTCATTCGTACACACACAATAAGGTGGCTCCTGCAAGTCTGTCATTTCATTAAATCGAACAATTTTTTGTGCATTAAAACATACAACTGACATATCATTCGACGCAGTTTTTCAGACTAAGTTCGAATTTGTAGTTACTTTTGTAAAAAAATTACTTCTAAGCAGAGGAAAAGATTAAAAATCTGAGGTCTTTTAGCAAACCTGTATATCAGCTTAGAAACATTTCTGCATCTTTGTGCTATCTTCTGTCGATGTCTTATATATAGAAGTAGAATACCTGAAATTGTCATTTAGTTTGGAGTTTGGAAAAAAATGGAAACGTCACTTTACTGGACACATGTTTTCGGAAAACACTTAGCGGAGGAACAACAAATATTTTCTCGGTGGTGGGAAAATTTTAATATAGCGAATAGATAGAGAGACAGGTCTAGTTTCGAACTATGTAGAATTGTTAAGATTATCATATTCGGTTTCGCGAAAAACAATAGATCTGTTTTTAAAGAAAAATTTCCATAAAGATTTTCCTACTTAAGACGGCACTTAAAAATCTTTCCGTGGCAATTAAATAAAGCGTATGTTGAAGTATATGATCTGCTATTCAAACCTTGAAAAAGTGTACTTTCGTTTTTTCCCATAAAGTCTACGTGGTTGCCCACTGTGCAGAATGTGACAAGATCAAATTGAATGCAAAAGTTGCTAGAATCGATGGAGAATTCACTTATACTACTCAAGCTGCTTCTCTGTATGGTATAGCATTTTATGCTCTATACGGCAGGAGTGTTGAAAATTTCTGAAGGGAGTTTTGGAGGAAGTCATGGGCCCTTTACTCCCAGTTTTGGAGAAACTCGGAGAGTGATTTACTCCGATTTTGAACAAAATCAAGAACGATTTACTCCGAATTTCGGAGAAACCTGAGGGATGATTTACTCCGATTTTGGTTTTTTCGAATACTAAAGTGCTGCTATCTCCGAAAACCGATATTAAATGTGTTCTTTGAAGAAGCTTTCTTAACCGACTTAGATGACTTATTTCTATTTTTTTCCGCCTACGTCTGAGAAAATTACAGTGAATGTAACGTTTAGGCAAACTTAATGAGTGATGCTCATCAATTATTTATACTTCACCATGAGCTCGGAGAGTCAGGGGCTTAGTTTTGGAGACCTTACTCCCATTTTTGGATTTACCCTCCCATGCTCCCAACCTCTTCGCGCCGCCACTGAGTGTATGTATGCAATACGAACATTGCTTTTATCTTTTTCACTTTCAGTTGTTTCAGTTGCTACGCGCGTTCTCTTCATAGGATCAGTTCGTTTTCCTTCGTTCGAATAACATTCAAAAATTCTTTAAAATTATTGAAAGTCCGAAAACTTTTAAATATTAGTAATCTTTTAGTTTTTACGGATAGATTGCTGAAACAGAGGAATGTTCCTCTTCACAGATATGTTTTGCCGTACTTGATCATCTGCCTGTTTTTTAATTTTATGAACATAATTCTACTGTTAAAGCGTAAGCTTTCTTTTCATTTTCTTTCAAAGATTGATTGATATATCACCTTCAATAAATGGCTTTTCTCCAGTTCAAAAGCGTTAAAGTCTATCCTCATGATAGTCGGGGAAAATGATACAATCAGTCTATCCTCATGGAAGAAAATGATACAATTAATGGGCAATACCGTTCATGTTTTCGAAATATTTACGGTATGACCATTCAAAAAAAATACCGTCTATTGTTTTAAATAGTAGATTATTAGAAGGTGAAAATGAATCATGTACAATCGTTTTCGGTTCGATCGTTTTGCTTCATGAAATCACTCACGGTATAGTATTTCCGGGCTTTTCATCCACACCGACCAGAGAAACTTTTCGATGTTATCATGATGTTGACACTTATGACGGTGGATGTTATCTGGAACATCAGGTGTGTGGTGGCGAAATGTTTATTCATAAAACAAATAAAAAAATGTATTTACTGCAACATAGTAACAAAGTCAGATTTGTCACTGGTGATCTTTTGCAGCATATTTATGATAAACATTCATTCGAAAATTTGCTTGATTATGCGAATATGGGTGAAAGCGAAAGTATGTCATTAACAAAACATCAACCTACTGGCGAGTATTCATCCGATGTATGTATGATAAATTTACGAAATAAAACCGAAGATGCAAAATATTGTCCTACTGGCGAATATCATAAACCATTATGTAATTGATTAATTTTATGTGTTACTAATAAGATAATTATAATTTCCTTTTATCGACGTGATGTTTCTCCGTATTGGATTATTAGTGCTAGAATAAAATTAAAATGACTTTTTCAAAAATCCTTGCTTTTGAACGTGAAAAGTAGACGCTATTGATGTTTGGTGAAAAAGATGTTTAGCTGTTTATAGGCTCTCTTCCAAGTGAATATGCAGTGTGTTTTGAACAGTGTCCCACATTTTGTTTTTAGCGAAACCTCAGAATTTCTTGCTAAGTTATCTCGTTAAAAAATGGCTGTCAGCAAATGTATGGATAACCGATCACAAGGGAGATGAATAGCATAAACATTACTCATTAATATGTCGCTTGTAGAAAATCTCAAAAATCAGCATCTGATTTCAGAAGAAAAATAACCAGTAGAAACTTTTTGTTCAAACTAAAAAGGAAGATTTTAATGATATAAAAATATTTATTTTGGATAACAATACGCTATATCTTGGAAAAATGATAAAATATGCTTTGAATGGGTCTGACTCTGATTGTTATTTGGATTCAATCGTTCTTCAAATGAAATAAGTTTAAAAGAACGATTTGGATGATCTTTTATCAACACAAGTCTATAAGTATTCTGCATTGAAAACTTGCTCGTTTCCGGGTAAAATATGATCTTTTAGAATACAAATATATTAAAGGATGCACACAAATAAGACTTTGAAATACCCGTTTTTTATAGAAACTGATACGATCATTTCAATACTCGATGTATTATATTATTCTTCATTGTCAGAAGTAAAACATTAAAAGTCGAATTT